TGGGAGCCTGGTGTGGTGCTGAGGTGGGGGTGCAGGGCTCTGTGTCGGCAGAGAACCCCCAATACCGGAAGAAAGGAGGGTGTGGGGCAGTGCCCCCCGGCAGCACCCCTGTGGGGCTGGGGCAAACAGGACAACAGCCTTCCCTCCCACCCCCTGGAGAGCTCTGTCCCGTGCTGGGGAGCCAAGAGGTGCCAGGCGGGGAACAGCATCGTCCCCCAGTCTGGGACTCTGTTGCCCTCCCCTACTCAGCGAAGGGTGGTTGTGTTCTTCCTGTTCCAGCGCAGGGACCCTGCGGGAGGCTGGCAAACAGGCAGGGCCAGCCCGTTGGAAATACAGCCCTGCTCCTGCAGTCAAAACCTGGAAGGCACTGAGAGATCCCGTCCTGGAGACCTAGATCCACTCCCAGAGATCTAGATCCCCTCCTGGATCTCTCAGTGCAGCCAAGACAGGTCCCCCCGGCCCTCCAGTGTGCTGGGCTCGTGGGCAGGGTCTCAGCAGCACATCTGTCCTGTTACAGCCAGGTCCTGATGAAAGGAAGTCAGAGCTGCTGCCCGCTGGGTGGGAAGCCAACAAGGAGGTGTATACGCTGCGGTACAAGTCCACGGATGATGCCCGTGAGCTGCTGCTGAAGGCCATCATGGTGGAAGACAGTATGATCCTCAACGTCATGGTGGGCACTCAGGCTGGTCCCTGCAGGTTTGGGGTCCTTCAGGTGCAGGGGCTGCTGCCGCCCAAAATGTGAAAAGAACAGCAGGGCCCATTTCTTAAATTATTGCCGTTACTTGTTCTGCCTTGCAGCAATGTTTGTCCCTCACGACAGAGCAGACCCAGGGGGGGTTAGGGGCTGCAGACCTGCCTGTGCAGCAGCAGATGTGGTCCAGTGTGAAGCTGGTCAAACACGAGCTGTGTTGGCGCAGCGATGCGGTTTGCATTGTGCGATTGCACACTCTTGCCCAGGAGTTGCCGCTTTTGTGTCCTCTTCCCAGCTCAGGATTTTTCTGCAGATCTTTTCTCCTGTCCCACACAAGCACCCGCCCGGGTGTTTTTGCTTTCACCCTTTGAAGCCCTGATTGGGGGAGCAAGCAGGGAGAGCCTTGCTGTACACTGGACTTTGTTTGCTCCTGGGGATTCGGGCACAGCGCAGGGATGTGGCAGGAAGCAGGCAAGCCCATTCCTTGTGTCCAGGCCCCTAGCTGTGGTTGTACCTGCTCCTTCCCTTGTTCCCAGCTCTGCTGGGCTGCTGACTCAGTGTCTCACCTGTATTTTCTTCCAGGATCGCACTTCTCAGAAAGTGGCAGATGTGACCTTGGCAGTGGCCGACTACATCAACCCGGAGCACCTGGATGATTTCCACAAGTAATCTCAGTTCCACAGCATTTCCAGCAGGAGAAAATGTCCCACTGGCATGGGGAGGGGGGCAGAGACCAGGTTAGGAGGAGCCTGGAGGACTTTCTTCCCCAGAGCTCCCTCCCCTGCCTCCCTCTGCACTGCTGGCGGGCAAGAGAGGTTTATGGAGCGAGGGGACCATGGGTCGGAGCCCAGGGGAGAGCGACCCACCTGGGAATGGGCCAGGCCAGCCCAGCACTTTTATTTCCAGAGCACTGCCTGCCTGTCTGTGCCGGGTGGACACTGCCCAGGGGTGCTGCAGCTTCAGCTGTGTCCCAGACACCCCGTGGCCTTGCGGTGCCACATGCTGTGGTTTCCTCCAGTGCAAACTGGTCAGGTTGTGGCCACAGCACAAGGGAGTCCCCTGGGCTGGGTGGCACCTCTGCCATCTGAAATGGGGTGAGGGCTATGGTGCCACTGTGTGCTGTTACCCTTTCCCATCCCCTCTGTGCTGCCAGCTGGGGACATGTTTTGTGCCGGGGAGGCTTTGGGGTTGTCCATCCCCTTAGCACCCCCCTCACAGCCTGTCCAGCAGCTCACGCCCAGGTCCTGTGGCCTCCCCAGCCCACCGCCTCGCCTCTCCTCCCTGCAGGGTGTACAAGAACACTGAGGAGCTGAGGACACGGATTGCTTCAGGCATCATCGCTCCCCTCGGGGCCCCCACAGAGAAGGCCAAAAAGGAGCCTGAGGCTGAGAAGAAGGATGCTGATTTGCCCCAGGATTACGACCCCCTGAGGGTCCCTCCCCGGCAGCCAGCAGGCACGAGAGCACCGTCCTGGTGAGTAAAGAGGGGGTGGCTGCTGATGGTCCTCCGTTAGACGGGACGTGGTCCTGGCACAACTCTCCAAACTGCACCTCTGGTCCCCATCTTGCACGTGAGGGATGGGGAGCAAAGAGGATCCAAGCCCTCCCCAGCCAGTTTCAGCCTCATAGGCTGAATGCTTGGGTTTGGTTTAGGTTGCCTGCAGAGGGGTGGCCTGTTCTGGCACTGTCTGTTGGTTTGACCCTCCTTTGGCAGTGCCTGGGGGTGTAGCTGGAGACCTACGGACCCAGGAGGGAGAGGGCAGCGTGCAGGGCTGTGGGAAGGAGAGCGGTGGAAGGAAGGAGGCCCTGCTCTGTACTTTCTGAGGGACTGTCTGGGCTCCGGGGCTGGCAGAGCAGGGGAAGGGACAGTGCTGTCATGGGGCCAGGCAGCCTCCGGGACAGACGCCAGAGCGCTGGGTGTCAGATCGAGCTGTGGGCTGCAGCAGAGCTGTGGGGTCTGTGCTCACAGCAGAGGAGAGAGAGCGTGAGGTGGGTGCAGAACTCTGCCTTCGCTTGGCACAGAGCTGGGGCTGCCTCTAAGCCTCCTGCCTGCTGTGGCCGGTAGAGCTGCCCTCCCAGGATGGTGCCAGGCCCAGGAGGTGCGGGCTTGGTAGAGGGGAGCAGAGATCTCCTCTCCTTGCTCCCCTGACCCCACTTCCCATTGAAACCCTTTGCTGGCAAAGCTGTGAAGATGGGATACATGGCACCCACTTCACTTTCCCTCCCTGGCCCCTTCGTGCCCAGCCATCCCTCATACGTGGCAGGCAGGCTCCCCCCTCTCTCCCCCCACAAGCTGTAATCCCCTTTGGCTGGAAGTCAGAGACACTGCGGTGGCTCTGCCGTCTCTTGGGGACTGGCCGTGGCTTCTGCCTTGCGTGTCACCTCTTCTTTAACCCCACTGCTTTCTGCTGGTGCTCAGGGCTGCTCAGGGTGCGAGATGCTCCTTGGGGAGGCCCAGGCAGACAAGCTGGAGCTGGGCATGGCTCTGAAACCATGTTTTTGGCACATATTGTTGGCAAGGAGATGTGACAGCTGGCTGCAGGCTCACCGCCCCACTGTCCTCGCACTCCTGGAAGCAGGATTGTCATTGTGTCTCCAGCTGGGACACACTGGAGAGCCTGGCCTAGCCTGGCACCGCTTGGGGAGCCCCTGGCATGGAAACTCCCAGCATCCACAGACGGCTCCAGCCTGGAGCAGAGGGAACAGCAGGGCCCCCTTCATCTCGGCAAGCTTCCCGCAAGCCTGCCACGCACACCGGTGTCCTCACCCAGCTGCACCCTGGAGAGGCAAATGCTGCGTCCTGGGCATGGGGTGGCTCCCAGCGCCAGCCCGCTCACGCAGGGTCCTGCAGGTCCCAGGGCCCTTTGGGTGCTGTAGTGCTTGCCGTGGGAGAGCACCCGTGAACACAGCACTGGCAACCACGCTGGCTGTGCTGCCCTGCCTGCTTGCTCGCTCCTGCTTGCTCCACGCAGCCGGTCTTCCCATCGCTGAAGATCTTGCTGTCTTCTGTGTTTTCAGGCCTTCCCCCTTGAGCCCCTTTGCTGTTGGTGGGGAAGACCTGGACCCCTTTGGGTAAGTATGGCTGGGAGAGGTCGTGCGTTGCGTGCCGGGGGAGCATCCCCTGCTCTGCCCTTGTGTTGTGCGGGAGCGGCTGGGGGCCTTCTCTGGAACAGCTGGAGTCCGCCTGGCTCAGGCGACTGGCAAAGTGTCTCTAGGTGCGGACAGCGATGGGACGGTTGCTCAGTGCAAATTGCAAAGGACCAAGTGACAGTTGCTAAACCTCAATATGGTTCTAATATCGTAATAAGATCCTGTGTCTTGCATAGATGATAGGTTACAATCTGCGTCTGTTTAATAATCAGCTTGTATTCATTTAACATGCAGTAATTCCTTCGGTAAATCAAAGCTGAATACATCATTAAGTGAATGTAAGCCTCTAATTTAAAATGTTACCAGCTGCTGCGTCTACAGCCCAGCAGTCTGGAGAAAGGGAGGCTTAAAGCCGAGTCCACAGGCTCTCGAGTCCTGGTTGTGAGCCTCCCAGCTGTCTGAGGCACTCAAGAGAAAGCCTGGGAAGAAGGAGAGCTGTCTGGGGACTGATCTTCACAGACACATCTCTCGGTCTTTGGTTTGGTTGGGCAAAGACAACCTGTCATCTTCCATTCCAGTTAAAAGCACATAGTCAAGACAAAAACCAGCTCTTGGAGTCGTTGCAGAGTGTCCTGTGGCCCAGGGGAGTCCTCTCTGGAACCAGTCTCCTGTGGGGATCGCATTTTTTCCCCTCTTGCAAGACTTGGTGCTCCGTGGGTTTGGCTAGAAAAGGAGCAGCTAAAAATGTCCTGCCTGGCTGGAAGGAGAGGCCTGGAGCCTGGGTGGCTGGAAGGAAACCTGATAGCATGAGGAGAGGGGGTTCAGTTGTGGGGGAGACCCTGTTTCTCTTGCTGCTTCCAGCCTTTCTTCGGAAGTTCCTCTACAAATGACACAAAGATTGTAAATGGAAGCAGATTTGTGCGCTGACACCTGCCAGCGCTGGGGCTGCAGCCCCAGACTCCCAGGCATATGCTCGTGGGGCCTGGCTGTCCCGGGGCGCTTTGGGCAGCCGGCCTGGCGTAATGGAACTCATTAGTGTAGTTGTTAATGACTAGTATGATGGCAGCGGTGTCCAGAGGCTCCAGCCGAGTTTGCACAAAGCCGACCATGAGGAATGGCACTCGCAGCGTGGGGCAGCTCCGAGGAGCCGCCGTGGTCAGCAAATGACTTCCAGGCAGCTCTTTGGAAAGGCTGGCGGGAGCCCCGGCGGGTCCGCGAGCTCTTGCAACACTGCGCGGGGCAGGGCGCGCGGCTCGCCCGGGCAAGCAGAGCAGGGGCTGAGTGCGAGCCGGC